TTTGTAGAAAAGGGCTGGCAGAATTACAATTTAATAAAAAGTAAAACATCTGGATACGAGTCCAATTTACTTTTTATTAAATTGTAATTCTGCCAGCCCTTTTCTACAAACAAATATTATATTTTTAATTGTGTTGGGATTGTCACCTGTGGACATTTTAAACTGTTTTAGATATTTGTGCAGAGGCATAGCCTCTAAAGAAAGGTTGTCGTCTCTGCAATGGAAATAGTTGTTCCTGAAGATTAGACATGGCGAGAAAAATTGGAGTCTTATCCAGATGTTTTACTTTTTATTAAAATGTAATATCTTGATAATACAAGTGAACTTTTGCAACTAACAAAGAAAATATTATAGAAGTATTCTATAAAAGGTAGAACACCAATGGAAGCAAAAAATATTTATTGAAATTTCTGGCCAAACTGAAAACAAGTTTCTTATTTTCACAAGCTGAAAAATTTAGGAACATTCCATCTTTCACAGTAATAGAAAGTATAAAAAAAAGTACATACTGAACAGACTGAAGCTGTCAGAAAGACAAAAAGTTGTTCATTAGATACATTTAGACTTTGTTACTATTATTTATTGATGCATTTATATACTACTACATTTTCAGTATGCTGCATATTGTATACAAAAATGGATTAGACAAATTCAGTGTTTCCAGACATTGTTTAAAATGTTTTCCCCTCATTCTTGCTCTTTTTGCCTTGTAGATAAGAGGGTCTTTCTTCATATCCACTGTGGGTTTGATCAGGCACACATTTGGGCAATATGTGACTTAGCATCCTTAATTAATTTAAGAACATCTGGAGTAGCTTACCTGGATTCAATCTTAGCTCCTCAGAGTAGTAAGTTGAAGCCTTAATTGTCTCAGTCATCCAATTTGAAATAATGTTTTATTAGTTGCTATGCATATTTTTGTATAAATATATTACTTTTGAAGCTATACATAACTAATGTTTTTTCTTAGCATGTAATGTATCATAATATACTTCTTAACATTTCAAAGAGAAAGCAATATTTGAACTATGTTTAGAAATCACTATTGATACTTATTTCTTGTTACAGTAATAAATTATAATTTGATTTATACTAAAATTACATCACTAAACTCATAACAATCAAAACACCAAAGAAAAAATCATTTAAAAGTCTTAAATGCTTGATATATAATTTAAAAAGTTTACCATCCATAGAAGCAGATCCACTAGTACTTTGTCCAGAAACAGAAAAACATGATGGTTGAACATCTTCTGAAGGACTTGTTGAAGGTCTAACTGTAACATTCATTTCTTTGTTTACTTCCATAGGTTCTTCATCAATATTTGTTGATTCATTGCTATAGATGAGAGTAAATAAATAATACTGTTAATATGTTAGAACCTCAACAACTAAACAACAAATTATGACCTATGCTTTAATGAAGTATATAAAGAACTTCACCCTATAGAATGGTAAAGAGAATACATCTTTGGATATGAACAGTCTACAGAATTCCAATACACAATAGAACAGATTGCAACCCTACCAAAAAGGCTCTAATTTATCAACTATTTTCTGATAAAATGATCAATTTGTAAAATGCTTTAAGTTTAACAGTTAAATTTGACTCCAAATGCAAAAAATAAATGTACTAACAATTGTTTCGTTGCCAACTTACTGATGAGTTGGCAACTAAATCTTTAGTGCTCAATGACATATTAAATTTTCTTTTTCTCTATTTCAAAAAGCAGAAGTTTCATTGCATAAAAAATAGGGCATATCGTAAATTTTCAGTTGTAGTGATTAAAACAATGGCCAGTACAAGCACTCTCATTCAAATAGAATGTTCCATTTGTCAACTAAAATATCACTTGACAAAATCACTACTGTAGTCTAGGAATTATGGATTAAGACAAATTGCCAAACTGTCCAGCATAGTTCTATGATATGATTTTTAATTTATTACTTTAAAGTTCTTTAAATAAGATAAACTGTAAAGTGGTTTCAGTTATTTAAAAACATCTTAATATATAAAAATGTAAATAAACATGAGTATACAAATAAATAATTGACTTTAAAAAACTACATCTATCTGAATTTACCAGTACATATATTGAACTACTTATATTTTTACTAATGAGTTTTATTTTGTTTCCCAAAAATACAATCCCATACTCTTCAGAATATATTGAGATAACAGCATGATACATCAAAGAACTAATTTCCAATCATCAAATAGACAAATAAATAAATACAAACATTGCAAACACTGCTAGATGCAAATTAACATCGAATGGAGCAAAATACAAACACATGAGCCTCTTCTATCTTGGAACCAACCACCTAACTGTCAAATTTATATGGGATCTATAAGAGAAGCTTAGAAACTAATAATCAACTGTACACTCAGACAACTTATGATCTTGGAAGTGACTAGAACACTAGTTAGCCACAATGAAGTTCTGTTAAAATAACATCCCTCATTTTAATTTTATAAACATGCTGTTAATAATCCTCATTGACTTTATTTTATGCTTTTTTATTTTATTTTGTACACAATTTATCTGAACATTCTATTTGATTCCCAGAGAAACATTCATTTTTTTCTTTTCCAAAGAGAGATTAAAGATACTTGAAACATATTGTGGGTAGCCTGAGGTAGGACGAACTCGCACCTCTTTTAGATAGGCAACAGTTCGGTGAGAACTGCCCACTGGTCAGGGGATGACGTGTAGAATAATTTTATATCCCGTGACGTCGGGACTCTTTCTGTTAAGTCGAGTGGAGGAGGAGAGAGGGGCCGTCGGTGAGGTGTAGCCAATATTCGAATTAAATATACTTTTTAACAACAAAACAAACATTTATTAGACAAAACTAGAGACTAACAAAAGAGATTAAATATCGTTTCCGCGGAGTTGGAAGGGCCGCGCCGAGAGAGAGTTTACAATACTTTGGGGTTTCATACCTCTGTTGAATTCAATGGCTAGTACAGATAGAAATTCGGATAGAGGTTGAACTTCTCTCCAGTAGGTCTTCTGGGGAAGTCTCCTCCGGGATCGACGAGCAGCTGGATGGGTGGGTCGGCGGGTGACGGTCTTCGACGGGAGATGACGGACCTGTTCACGGACGGCAAAGTCGACCTCTCTTTTATATCTTCGGTAGATCTTGTATCACGTTATCTCTTTACACCAATTATAGATTTCTTTGGATAAGATCCTGTTGATTCAGATTTGGGTTTCGGAGGGAAAGGAAGTTACTCCGGGGATGGGAAGACGAACATCCGCCCCCGAAAAAGGTTCGATAGCGCGTAGAAATGGAGGTTTCTTTGTTTTAAATAAATGTTTTAATTTATTAATTTTGTTGTTTAAACGATTTAAACTCGTTTAATTCGATCCGAATTTCACTATATATATATGAATTCTTTGATTATATATATATAATCAAAGTTTTATAAGTTGGTGGGAGAAAGAAATTAAACTCCTGGGTATTTATTATACAATATATTAATTTATCATCATCCAATATAAGTTTGAATCTTATTGCTATATTACAATCAATACACAAATCAATATTAATAATAATCTGTACAGCAGCATGCCTCACTTTAAAGCACTTTTCAATTATGCTCAAGTATTGTTTTTAATGCTTGCTTACCTTGCTTGAGAGGTATGGTCAGCAATATGATTCTGTACTTCTTAAAACATTTTACTTTTGCATTTTTGTGCACTTGATAAATGATGCATAAATATGATTCTAGACTTATACAGGCAAGTGTGGGAGGAGAAAAGCTAATTTGCTTTATAATGATGCCTTTATCCAAAAACTAATGTTGGGGCAATCATCCTTCTCAGAATTTTACCACAAATACTTAGTTTTATACTTAAAATGAAAGTATAATTATTGTGAATTCATTTCTCTTTTAAAATGAACATGACTATTACAACAGATGCTAGATTTTCAGATTGTCATAAAAAATGAAACATTAAAAAAGAAAATTTGGATGATTCATACCAGGTTTAAATTAAAAGAAAAATTTAAACATGGTATAATAAATTTATAAAAAAAAATAATTATAATCAAAACCCACTCTTCAATTACCTTGCATTATTTTCCATTTCTTGTTGTAAATTTAGTACTATTTCACATAACTCATCTGAATTCTCAAAGTTTCCATCACCATTTTGTACTCTTCTTAATAAAACTTCTCTAATCATATGAGAAGGGAAATTTCCAGGTTCAATTGCTGCTTTTACAATATCAGATTTCATATATTCATCAACTTGATGTTCAACGGTTAATGAAAATTCAGAAACATGTAACACTTCATTACTTGTTGATTCCATGTTAACTTCACCACTTGATTTCTGTAATGTAGTATTGCTAAGCATTATATTAAAGAAAAATGTTTTAAAAACTAAATTAGAAGAATTGAGATGANAATTAGTAGCATTATTTAAAAGAAAAAAGTTTTCACTAATCCAAACAACCTGTACAATAATTAGTTTATATACAGCATTAAATAATTTAAAGATAATATTTCAATTCTTAATTCTTATTTGAAATCAGAATTTTCAATGACAGTATTAGTATTTTATAACACATTTCATGGATATGGATGATTTATACCAGGTTTAAATTAAAAGAAAAATTTAAACATGGTATAATAAATTTATAAAAAAAATTATAATCAAAACCCACTCTTCAATTACCTTGCATTATTTTCCATTTCTTGTTGTAAATTCAGTACGGTTTCACATAATTCATCTGCATTCTCAAAGTTTCCATCACCATTTTGTACTCTCCTTAATAAAACTTCTCTAATCATATGAGGAGGGAAAATTCCAGGTTCAATTGCTGCTTTTACAATATCAGATTTCATATATTCATCTACTTGACGTTCAACAGTTAATGAAAATTCAGAAACATGTAACACTTCATTACTTGTTGATTCCATGTTAACTTCACCACTTGATTTCTGTAATGTAGTATTGCTAAGCATTATATTAAAGAAAAATGTTTTAAAAACTAAATTAGAATAATTGAGATGATACATAATGTTATATCAAAGTGACAATGATTTATTTATTATTTACATATTTTCATAATATGAATTAAGTATTCTTTCAATATTGTTTCTAAGTTGTGAAAATCAGCATTACTTAATAACAAAGATTTTATTTTGAGATCACTTTATCTAATGTATTTCAGAGCACTTAATTTTTCTACTGATAAAACAGTTTGAGGTACTGATAGTTTTCATCAATTCTTGCAGTTTTGTTTATGCATTAAAATAGTTTAATCTATTGACATTAATTCTAATAATTGATGATATTTCAAGTAAAAAATTTCAGTGTTATCTTCATTATAACTGAAATGCATGTGTGTATAAACTAACCTGTTTTAAGTTTTAGATGCGGTCCAGGAAAAAAAACGGTGGTTATTTATGTACAATTAACCCATAAAGTTTTCATCAATTTTGAGGAAATATTTTTGAAAAATTGATTTTTTAAAAGTAATATTTTATTTTTAAACATTAATGTTATCCCTTTCAAAGTACAGTAGTTCCCTCGGGCAGTTATACATCAGCAGAGTCAGTCTTCATAGCAGTGCTGGAAAGCTTCAACTAGATTTGCCTGCAGCAATGCAGTTACACTCCTTTGGATGTTTCAGGGCTGCGGAGTCGGTAAAAAAAATCCGATTCCAGATAATTTTAGTAGGCCGACTCCGGCAAAATTAAATACAAAGTCATTATATGGGAGCAGAAACGCTCATAGGGAGGTACCCTACTCTGAAC